CTGGTCCAAGCCACATTGATCTGACACATGGACTATAAACTGTATCTTATAAAATCTGCACCAGGGAGCAATAGAGAAGCTGATCAATGAAAAGTGTGCGATAGGGAAAAAATGTTGACCATAGCTATCAGTCATAATGATGAATTTATTTTCAAACCAGGGCACAAAAAATACTGTAGGAATCTAATTGGTTGATTTAGGCAGCAAGATATTGCTGCTGGCTCACCATTAAACTATTGATGGAAATGGACATTCTGAGCAATTGCAATTATTTCACTGAGATAATGCTATTTTCAGAAGGTCCATTTTTTGCATGTACATTAAACCAAAATAATTGCGCATATTCATTTAATTTTTTTTTGTAATGAGCATATATTGGCAGCCTTGTGTATGTGGCTAACCTTAATATAGAAGAAAGGGAAAGAGCGCATAAGGAATCACATTATCTAAATGTTCATAGAACTGGACAGAAAGTTATAGCTATGTGTACACACTGAAAACGTTCTGTTTTCAGAAATGTTTTACATTTTGCAATTTAGCAAATAAATATGTAAAAACAACATACCCACCTTTGTTGCATGCTGTAAATAAATTTCAATAAATGTCTTTATTTTCCTTTTTGACACGTTTTCACATAACAAGATTGAATGGATACCTGTTTTAAGTTCTAGAAAATTAAATGATTGGGAAATTATCTTATAGCCTTATGGGAAAAAGAAAACATTTTGATACAGATCACTAACTCACATTTATCGGCTGTCAACTTACAGAATTCATCCCACTTCTTCGGCAGCATAGCATTAGAATTTCCATTAGTATATTATTTCAGGCATACAGGAATATAATGATATGTTTTGACTTTTTAATGTTGTCTTTAAACTGAATTACAAACCATAAGTAACCATCTGTAATTCTACATTTTCTGTTTTTTAATAGTTACCTTTGTGGTATGTTTTAGTGTATAAATTACACATCATTCATAACTGATGAACAAGATAGCTATAGGTGAGCAAAATTTACTTTAAAGTTAATGAATAATTAAAAACAATAGTTTCCCATGACCTGACAAATTGTACAATATGACTGTGCAATTGCTCTCCTGGGAAATAGTTCATCTGAGGAAACATACTGAAAATGTTATCATCGAACTACATACCAATTAATTTTTTATGGCTGAATCCTTCCAGTTAGATTAAGATTCACTATGTGTTTCTACAAAATAAACAGAACCATAAAGAAGTGTTATATTTTGCCTTTATATTTACTGTAGCTTAGCAACTGTATTAGCATACTGTTTAAGTTACCTTGTGTTACAAAATTAAATTTGTCTAGCTTAGACAAATGTTTCAAGCACAAATGTTATTATGCTAAGTTATATTAGACTCTACATTTTCTATCATCACATTGTCAGGCCTTTATATGTTTTGTAGCAAAACAACAGATGCATATGATATACACCTTCTATGCCTTACATCCTGTGTATGTCTACTTATGGGAGAACCATAGACATTTGTTGATCATTGCCTGATATCTGTTATTTCATCAGGACTAGATCAAGATCAAGATGTTTATAAAGTATTCACATCACAGTAAACATCTATTGTAGATATTGGTTGGGGAAAAAAAGTGTACTTGCTGTTTACCTACATATTATACATATAAATTGCACCCTTGTTTTTATTTAGATTAAAGGGGCATATATTGGCAGCAAAGGGTAAAGATATTTGTTACTATGACATGGGTGACATATGGAGGGGAATTTATCAAAACTGGAGCAGAAAAAAGCTGGAGCAGCTGTGCATGGCAACCAATCAGCTTCTTTCTTTCATTTACAAATCTTAGCTGAACAGACTGAAGAAAGAAGCTGATTGGTTGCCCTGGGCAACTGCTCCAGATTTTGTCTGCTCCAGTTTTGATAAATTCCCTCCATGATGTCACCCAAAGCTTCCAGGGCAGTGCAACACTGTGGATGAACTGATATAAATTAAGTGTTATGGGTGGACTGGGTTTCCATCTCTGAAGCCTGTAGGCACTTATCCTTTGGTGTTCTAAGCAACACTTACTGCTAGAATGACTTTTGTTACACAGAACATCTTCTTGTATGACAGGTCCTTTACCTGCTTAGATTATTGAAACAATAAAATACGTCTTTTATTTCAACATGAGCCAAATATCACAATGCATTGACATGTCATATTATATTGTTACAAAACACATGCAACATATAATAAGTATAATTAATTATTATAAATATCACTGTGTTGAGTGTGTACTGCAAAAGTACAGAACCATTAATTTCTGAAATGTAAATGTATACAGGCACACACTCTACCTGCCCAAAGCTGCTATGCTTATTCATACAGACAACTGTAGTGCACATGGCCACTCCACGGCTTGAAATTATCTTATGGCTGGTGTTTCGATGTACTGGGAACACAATTATAATATAAATATGCAAGTCTGGAATACCTATTATGATCAGCTGAAGCTTCTTGATGTCTTTTACATTTTGACAGACCAAGACTATTGCAAAGCACTTAGAAAAGCTGGGGTTTGGGACCAGCAGCACATGTGAGAGTTGAAAAATATATGAGAAAAATATTCAAAATTCAGACTGAAGGCTTTCTAACTTCAGTACAGTTTTTTTTTGATAAACAGTTAACAATTCTTTTCTGATATCATACAATGCCAAGAATTGCTCCTAAACTTACAACATCCATTGTAAAAACATGTTCACTGCACCTTGAAACAGCCAAAACTAAGGACATGCTATCAAAAGGAAAGGGTTACTGTTATTGCCAGAAATGCATTTAGTTATTGCAGCTTTATACCATCTACTGAGTTGTGCAGACCTGTTAGTCATAGGACTCATGTCCAATAGCAAAGCTGTTGGTTATGATACATTGAAGAATATAAGGGAGGATGTAAGAGCAGAGGTATGGAACTGAGAGAGAACTTTCTCGCTCAGGTCTGCTCCTCTGCTTAGTGGGTGGGTGCAATAGCCAGTCAGCTATTGGATTTTGCAATTTTGAATAGCCAATAGCACTCTGGCTATTGCTCCCAGCTGATTACACTCACCTGCCGGCTGCGGAAGCTAACCAGCAGGTAAATGGGGCTGTGGGGGAGAATGGGGTTTCACGGGGGGACAGTTATCTGGCACCTACTGAACCCCATTGGTGATTGATAACTGGGAGTTTACTGTACAAATAACTTTATGCTGACATAGACTGGTAACATTGGTAACATTGTATACAGTCATTATCATTGTCTATCATGACTACAGAAAAACCTAATATAATTTACCAGTTAACTAGTTAGCTAGGCTGGAAAAGACAGACATCCATTAAAGGAGAACTATGAGGTGAGTGCTTTTCACTCACCTCATAGTTCTAGCCGACCTGTGACAATGAAACTTGTCACAGGTCGGCTCAGTAGATCGGGAATTGGGCGAACACATACCAGCGTTCGCTCACTTCTTGATCCTGTAACGGCTCTCTGCCGTGACAGGGGAGGGGCTGGATTCCCCGCTCCAATCCTCCAGTGCTGACTGGCGGAACGGACGGGGGAGGGACGGGTACAGCTGGCTCTGCCTCTAGATAGGCAGAGCTAGCTGTCACTCACACAGCTGGGATCCGCTTCAGCTGCGGCGTCTCAGTATACCGTGAGCTGTAGCTCGCGGTATACTGTGCTTAGGGTGATGGGAGGACCTTAGTTTGTGTCCTCCCGTTACCCTAAGGATAACTATGGGGAAAATCCCTAACCCCATAGTTCTCCTTTAAGGTCAATATTTCACAGCAATACATGTAGCATTAGTTCAGACAACAGTGGAACCTCATCCTGTTTGTTTTTATATATGTTTATATATACACACACACACACACACCAAAACACATCACAACCACAGGCAGGTAACGCCATTACTTCCTAGTCCAACTTCCAGTGAAACGGTCAGGTGGCCCAGTCAGCAAATAATCACCATTACTACCTCTGTCCAGGACCCAGGAATGTGACCCAGGAATCTTTAAAGCTGTAATCTTATTGGTAATCTTACTTGGTATGCAATATGGAAAAGGTGTGTGAATCAAAAGAATTGCTGAACTGCAAATCCTTTGAAAGGGAAGATAGTTAATATATATCTGTTTCAACTGGATAGTTGACCAAGTGCTTGGATTTTTACTTTAAAATTCCTGAATAGAAAACCTCCACTCTGCTCAGTATCTGACCCTACTTAAAGGGTTATTAAATCCTCAGCGTGTTTTTGCATATATCTACTGCTACCAAGCAGTAGATATATGCAAAAACTTAAAAAAAAAACCTTTTCAAACAGGTTTAAACTTACCTGTGTCTTCACTGTGTGCTCCTGTCCGAACATCTGAAGAGTCTCGGGTGGCAGCAAAGGATCTTGGGGTGGGAGCATGCGCAGTTCAGATGTTCAGCCTGGGGAGACAAGGATAGACACAAGGTAAGTCTATGCAGTCAGCGCTGGATCAGAGACCCGCACCAGCGCTGGAGGGACATCTGAAAACTACAATTAAGAAGAAGATGATCGGATTAAGAGGCATGATTTAAGGTAAGTCCTTACACTAATATGGAGGGATTATCCTTTAATATCACTTTAAATCCAAGACTTATAAAAACTATTGCCACCTAAGTAGGGGGCATCTTGAGAAGGATTGAGTAGACTGAACACAACACTAGTTGTTTTTTGGCTATACTAAGATATTATGTAAATCTACGCATACTTGAAAATGTATTTACAATCTGATCTATAATCAGATGTGGATGGTTCTGTAACTAGATGTGGATAAAACATGGAATTCTTTAGATCTCTTCACTTATATGTGGAAAAATACAAATTTATAGAACTAAATCCACAATAACTAGTAAACAGTTTGTAGCAGTCAGTTTTTTTATATAAACTAACATTTTAATCCCATATGCATATCATTGTATACTCTGTATATTTTAATAATGTCTTTGCATATATACATTTTTCCTAGGCCCCAAATTTACTCACAGAAGTATCTTTCATTACATATGAGGAATCTTACCAACAATTAGATCCTTTTTTTCTCCACCATGAATACATTGCAAAGGTAAGACTACAAAAGTCTAGCTACAAAAAAATTATTACACCCTTTTTTATGAAAATTGTACAATTTACTACCGTTAGTCACAAAATGCTTATTTGCTGAATTAAAACAATCACAAAATGATCTGGAATATTTGTAACCTGTGACGAAATCAAAAAATATAAAATGTTCACTGTGTTGTTGGCACCTCCAGTTACTTTCATGTGCTTTTATTTGTTAAAGAGTACTCCAAGACACCAACAAAGTGTTATGTTCTGATGAGAAAAAAGAAATCAGCTCATATCTCACACCTCCTGTGTTTCATTATTGGCCAATTACTATGATGGGCAGCCTCACTTAACAATAGTGAGGAAATAAGAGACCATGGTAGATGGTGTTTTCTTATCAGAGTAGTCTGCTTTTCTAGTGTTCCCAGGTACTCTGCAACAAATCAGAAAATCCATGCAAGCATACCGAGGTTGCAAATATACCAAGAAAGTGTCTGTTACATATGGACATAGATTGACATAATGACAGTACTTGCTTTTTTATGGCATTGACTTATTATTAATTTGTAGTATTTTAATAGCCCCTAGATATTAAGCAATGGATCTGTGACTCTGGATTTTGATGGAGCTCAATTTGAAGTGTTCCCCAATTTCTTAAGATACACCCTGCATCCCCTTGTCAGTACATGTTTAGCTTATGAGTCAGGTAAAAAAGGAGGTCCGCCATTTTCTTGTCTCTGTGCCCGGGATGCGGGGGCTAAAGCGTCGCCTCACGGAATTTGAGTCCATGGGGTTGATTTACTAACCTTATAAACACACCACGAACATGTATACACCTCTGTAGTGTGTTCCCTCCCAGCATGATCTATGGGTGGAATCTAAACACCTTTGTAGTGTGTACACACCCAGCAGGTGTGTTGTGCAAAGCCCTGCATGAATTTGCAAGGTGATCTTGTGTAAATTAGCTCTATGTTGTGTTGCTTGCATTGATGAATGCAGGAATGTAAATGCATGAGCTAACCATTTTTGTCTAAACTGTGAAGCAGCATTATATATGCATCATGTGCATGATTTTTCCATATATGGCATTAGTGGATATATGCTTTTAGACACTTTTTGGTTGATAAATACGTTTTGCTGTGTAAAAATCACACGCACCTAGTGCGTGCGTGTGTTTAGGTTAGTAAATCACCCCCCATGTGTCATCAAGGGGCCCCAATCCAACATGCCCTTTCCTTCCTCTATAAACAGCTCTGCTCACCGCCGCAGTCCTATTGCCCCCCCTTCTCTGGAGATGGGAGTCCGAGTTGGGTAGACCCTTCTCGGAGCAACAACGATGCACGGTTCTGTCCCTAGCACACAAATCCTCTCTGGCAAGCAAATTCCAGGAGCAGGGATACAAGATCCTATCCCGATGGTATAGAGTCCCGTATATCCTGAACAAGATGAATGGCTCAATCCCTTCGACTTGTTGGAGATGCGAACAGGCTCCAGGCATCATGCTTCACGTATTCTGGCAATGTCCTGACCTTCGCCCTTTCTGGACGAGTTTGAGGGCGACGATAAACCTAGATGGTGATTGAAGCCCTACCAGACGACCCAGTGGTCTGTCTATTACATATGGCCCCCCTCACTGTTAAACGCTACAAAAAATCTTTGACTATGCATCTATTGAATGCAGCAAGGTCATGATTGTGGAGACAATCCAGACCTCCCACGATGAGACTGTGGTTCTCCATTGTGCATGAGATATATCGTATGGAGGACCGGACCGCTTCTATCCATAATATGGAGGAGAAGTTCCGAACTCTTTTTTAATCGAAAACATTGGTAGATGAGAAGCAACATCTAATGCATTTGGGGTTAACAGCTAGAATATATGACTCTACACTCGATTTTACACACAGTGGTATATTCTACTGCACCACAAACCACTTCCAAAACCTGCTAGTCCCACAAGTAAATTAATTTTATTCCACTCTGTCACTTTGATAAACCAGTCATAAAGACATTTCCCTACCTATTGGCCAGACACCCCCTTCCCACTTTGTCCCCTCTCCTGAGCTTCTCCCACTCTCTCCCTAAACTCCTCTTCAATTGGCCCCTAACTCTGTTTATTCAGGACTTACTCATCTCAGGATCAACATAATTAATAGTTCCTATGGTAGATTACTGCTAAATGACCTTATTTAAGCTTGTGTACTTTGTTAGGCCACTGTATCTGCTGTTAATGTTTGGTATGTATAAGCATATTGGCCCCACCTTTGGACTATTTGCCCTGTGATAATCCTAAAATAATAATACCAATGATGATAAAAAATATTATTAATAATTATAATTGTGCTAGTATTATTTCTACTACTACCGTTAGTATTATGACTACTATTGCCATATGTGGAAATTGCATGTATTCCCCTAATCAATCAACCAACCAACCAAATAATGCCATATAGAACTTCAATTTGTTGAAAAAAACACATCCAATCCATTTTAAATCCTGTCTCAATGGAAGTCATGCATGGCTGACAACCTAGCCTTTTTTAATTATAAATGCTTGTTAGAGAAAATGCAGTGGGATTGTTGAAATAGAAGCAGACAAAACATTTTTTCCCAAGTGCAACAAAAAATACAATTTGAACCAGCACAATATTCTGTGTAGATCATTCTCAATAAGACAGCACAAACTGACCAGTCCTGCCTCAGATATTTTAATAGTCCAAACTGGTTCATTATCTAATAAAAAAAACACATGGCATTCCAGCCAACAGTCAACAGAAAATATTTACAAACATTCTCAGATGCTTACACAGCACAAGTGTTAGAAGCATTGCAAAATAAAAAGGAACACATTAGACTGCATGAGCACCTGACAGTCATAACACAGAACATCTGTGTTTTACTGCAGAGTGAAAACTGTACTGTAATAAACATGTAATGATGGGGTTTAAATAACCTTTTGGACAATTTTAAAGTTTCAAATTTAGTTTTTTTTTACCTTTTTATTGTTTCTTTGTCCTATATTACAATCCAAACTTTGCATTTAAAGCAAATCTGTATTTTGACCAGTCAGGAAAAATCAAGAGGTGTGCTTTATTACCGCATCTTTATTTATTTATTAATTAAGTTAAATTAAATATTCAAAACAACCAAGAAGAACAAAGTATAAACAATACATGGAATAAATTATGACAAAAAAAGACATTGTTATATGAAAAATAATATCAGGGTAACATGCAACCCACAGGGAAAGAGGGCGGCTGGAAGGGTGTTCATAAAATTGGGGGAAGTTACACTAGGATAGGAGAGTTGGAAGTTGTGGGTACATGTCTCATAACAACATTTAAGTTTAATACAGTTCAAATACAACATAAACTTATTACAGAAGAAAAAAGAAGGATTTATATCAAATGACTAAGATTGGAAATGAGCAGGTGTCATTCAATAGAGTCAATTTTGTAGAATTTAGAATATGTTTTGCAAAAAAAAAAGGAGTACCTGTCAGTTCCATGTAAAGCCTCGGTTCCGTGTAACTCTACATCAGTCACTATACAGGGACAAAATCTAGTAAGATATACAGAGATAAAATAGAGTAAGATGAGCAATAATGAATACAGGTGGCTCATACGTTGTAGAACTGCTCATATTTATGCTTACAAGTAACTATTCACTGCAAAGACTGTCTGAAACTTGAAGGATCCAGTCCTTCCTGGATGGTGCTCCTCCAGTGCTTTGGGATTAACATTTTGGCTGTGTTGAGAAGATGGGGTAAGGAGCTAGATATATACGAGTATTTGGCCACAGAGAAGGGTACTAAATGTAGTAGAAAAGAGGACAGTATAAATGGAACATCTATATCTAGAATAAGCCTAATTGAATCTCTTATGTCTTCCCAAAATGACTTGACCTGTGGGTAGTCTCACCATATATGTAACTGAGTGCTAGGAAGTCTACAGCTCCTCCAGCACAGGGGTGACTTGTCTGGGTATATTTGAGCTAAGCGGAACAGAACCTTGTACCACCGGGTTAACACCTTATAATTGGTTTCTTGAGCTTTGGGAGTTGATTTACTAACCTTATAAACACACCACGAACATGTATACACCTCTGTAGTGTGTTCCCTCCCAGCATGATCTATGGGTGGAATCTAAACACCTTTGTAGTGTGTACACACCCAGCAGGTATGTTGTGCAAAGCCCTGCATGAATTGCAAGGTGATGTTGTGTAAATTAGCTCTATGTTGTGTTGCTTGCGTTGATGAATGCAGGAATGTAAATGCATGAGCTAACCATTTTTGTCTAAACTGTGAAGCAGCATTATATATGCATCATGTGCATGATTTTTCCATATATGGCATTAGTGGAAATATGCTTTTAGAGACTTTTTGGTTGATAAATACGTTTTGCTGTGTGAAAATCACACGCACCTGGTGCGTGCGTGTGTTTAGGTTAGTAAATCACCCCCCTGATGTTTATTGAGGAGGTATGAGTAAGCATAAGAATTTGATCCATTTTGGCCTTGGTGAACACTAACCCCATGTCATGGCTAGAAGCCAAAGAATATAACTGGTGTCGTTATGTATGAAAGAGCTCCTTGCTCCATGTGGCAGTGCATTCGTGCATTTTGCATTGCATAAGTGCAATGCAAAATGCACTAATGTCCATGTGATCATACACTTACATCTAAAGATCTTGATTACAAGAAGATTCTGGACAGGGCAACAACTGCAAGGAACAATTATAAAACTTCTACTGCATTAAAAATATTGATTTATGTTTTTTATATATAATCTTTTGATGTGAATGTATTTTGTATAATTTCTAACACAGTTGAACAGTGTTTTGCAATAAGTATTCATAATAAGAAAAATACACAGCTCAATTGCAGGTTTCTCTGTTACACAACAAAGCCAGTGAGTCACAAGAGCAGCAAATTATAAGGCACCCATCCTGCTCTGGGATGCTTTTAGATACACAGATAGTAACACCATATTGAGCCCTGTTTGAATGAGTAGAACAG